TAATTACAACTATCATTTGTCAAAAATCAGCTAATGCCATGAACCAATATCATCCAGGTTTACTCGAAGGCCGTCGTCACTTGTGGTGTGGTGTCCGCAGTCGACGCCTTCTCGTTATTTGAAAGGGAGCATATATACACTGAACACGCATTCAAACGATGATACAATTCCACACGAAGGTCTAGGGGCAACCTAGACGTAATTTCTCTATACAATAAACAATCACAGTCAAAATGTGAGCATTCAGATATGATTCTCCAGTAACCTCGTCATCGCCTAAATGATTAAAAAAGAGGTAAGCACTTGCGATAGCAACTTGAAATAGCGAGACCCACCGTGTTAAGGCTGAACGACAGCTTTTCTCTTATCGGGAATCGTAGGCAACGTTGAGACCTCTGGAAACAAAGACGTAATTCTCGCATCCACTTTGTAACTGTGCATTAACGTTAGGTAAGAAAATCCACTCAATTTCCTTAAATATTACAATCAATGAGGACCTTTTTCAAATGTGTGCATCATTTCCCGGCCCGTATACCTTTCCACAAGTTTGTATGGTGCTGCAATAAGAAGCAAAATCATATACACAAAGTATCAATAGGGGGGAGTGTGACTCTTCTCTAAATTCAAAGAATCATGCTCACAAAATTTTTCAAAAGGTCCAACTCTCAAGATTTAAACTGCAAACCTCAAAAGTGAACGTAAATGGCGGTTCTTCTTCATCATACGAGCGCTACCGATCAGAACGAACTGCCGTTTTGCTCGTGTAATCGCTACGTTTAAACGGCGTTCGTTTCGCAGAAATCCGATAACCTCTGCAACACAACAAATTAAACGCATTTGAATGAAGCTCTCATTACTCCTTTGATAATTTTACTACTGGTCATTTCACTAATCATGAAGAATGGCTACATAAATTCGAATGCAAAGAGTCTGATCTGAGTGAAAATCTGACGCGACATGCTGTTTTCAATGTGTTAACAGAGAGTAGCATTACTTCGACGATGTGAACCGACAAACCGATCGCGAATACAAAAATATGCGAACACTTAGAGGAGTTAGAACAAAGGCACGTGCAACAAAAACCCCAAGCGGTGTTATGAATTGAAAAAAAAATGAAGTGTTTTCAGAAAGGCGTCGCCGTAAGGCCGATGTCAGACTTTGCGAATCGCGCGATTCGCTAGCGTCCGCGGTCGCGTTGCGGTACCAGCCAATTGAGTGATTCACTGGCCGCGACGCGACCGCAGACGCTAGCGAATCGCGCGATTCGCAAAGTCTGACATCGGCCTAAACTAACTCCAAGGACTCCTTCTTGAGAGTCCTAGTCCCAAACACGGAACAATGATAATTTGGGATAATTTTTAAACGTGAAGTACTTGATATGAGGACAGGCCCATAAACCTTAGTTTGTCAGGAGAAGTCTTTTTGCCGATCACTGTGACTATCTGGCTTGCTATTTAACCCTTCGGACTAAAGCAAAATATAATCATCCGCGATTGCGTGCAGACCATTCAAAAAAGTCCTAAAAGATAAAACGGCCGAGCTGGTAACTTAGGTATTTGCGAGACAATGAGTAAGAGACATATTCAAGCCATCATCACTCACGCTCAGGGTTATGTCGAACCATACTGAATACCACCACTTCTCGTTCTTGCCCTTGGAATGAGTCTACTGTGTTGACGGACACATCAAGTGCATTGATAATATCACGAATTGCCGCTACCTGGAGCATGTCAACGTGATATTTCAAGGACGAACTACACATAGAGTAGGTAGTGAGGCAAAAATATGATACCTGTGCATAATAGGGGGAAATGACGGCTATTTCCTTTCCTGGGAGTCCTATTGACTTCAAAGCATCAACATAGCGGATCACCAGGGCCGCCTCACCTGAATCAATTACCTTTTCAGATATTTGTTTTCACAACCAGCGCGAAGTGCACGAGAAATGGAAGATTAACCGCTTTTCATTGACAGGTGTGAGTTGAATTGTTGAAACCTGGGTTCGGACAACAGTCAGGTGGACCAAAATTTTTGTTGAGTGAGACAGAGCTGCTCAGTAATGTAAGACATGTTGCCTTCTCCTTGCTTTGACCGCCTCCACCTATCTCATTCGCAACATTCAGGCGTCTGCGCCCTCTCATCCACGGTGCTTTCGCCTATGTTCCCGTTTCCGCAATCATTGCCTCATCACCACGGTCGAATTACAAAAACAAACTAGCCTTTCATCTAGGGTTTTCGACTGATTACTTGACTGACAACTTGTTCTTTCTTCATTATTACTCCATTTTGCACCCCTGCTTCCGTTGTCAAGTACAATAATCATACCATTTCAACCGAGGGGTATGCCTTCATCTAGTTCTCTTTCAAAAACACAGTAGATCGCTGACCTGGATTCTTGTATGACATCTGAGAGGACAACTCTCTGTACAGGTGACCTCCTCTATCTTTCTCGAGATCAGTATCTATCATGATAAGGGGATTATTCAACAGCGAATCCTTCGAGATGTAGGATATGTCACTGTAATATTATGGAAAATGAGACTACGTCAACAACTTCTCCAATAACGCCAACCTCAAAGTGATTTTTGATACTTCTTCGGCAGCCACGAGTCTTGACTCATAAAACTCTCTGGAGGACCACTGCATGATCTTCTCGTTCATTCTGTATTGAACTGTTAACAGTTGATTGATATTTGTATTGAAAAACTCATTCGCAAGCCTTTCCATGAGAGAGACATCAAGATTTCCTTTGCGTGCACTAAAATGATCTCACAAACATAACGGTAAACTACAAAATGAATGAGACGAGAACAGAAAGCCTTACGCCTGAGATAGGATCGTTGAGGGAAGCTGTGCATGATCACCAGCTAGAATGCAGCGCTTGGCCTGAACAACAGCAGCCCAAGCGACAGGTTCCGACGCCTGCGCCGCTTCGTCTGGAATATTTATGATACAGGGTTTAACGATTAAGACCTTCGCAGCATATATTTTGTTAGACCGGTAATAAAATACCTATGATTATTACATCCGGATGCCAATTCACCTGCGACAATCGTTGAATGGCTGACGAGGTCAACGTGCAGAAAATGGCAAGGCGCCTTTTGTAAGACTCCTAAGATATGAATGAGTACGAAATCAGTAGCGAGAGCCAATATTTAAATAACGGAAACAGCTCAGAAAATTTTCAGAAGAGAGGATTCCAGGTTATACCTTGATGATTTTCCATTTTAGTTTGTTTGCTTCGCTCTTCAACTTGCCTCGATCACCTTGGTCTGTTGAGCTATTCTTAAAAGAAAAAAAATGAAAGCTGGATCTCAACTGAACATCAACTAGGCATGAGATAATTTAGTAAATAAGAATCGAATTTTAGGTTAACATAGTGATGACAACCTGACTTGAGAAAGGTCCCCAGGTCGCCATGGCCATTCAAGAAGAGATGTATACCACTAGATGTGCCTTTGAACGCTGATCTCAAATCTACCTTCCAAATCTGCTAAACGATTCTCTGAATGGAGTTATGAAGCAAAACAGCGCAACGGTAGTGGTCGGGACTCACAGTCAAAACGTCGTAGGATCGGTCCCTTATCGTGTTTACTGTTTTCCATTCTTCAGGAATACAGCTAAACGGCTTTTAATAGCCTATTTAACTGAATTCCTGAAGAATGCAAAACAGTAATTACGATAAGGGACCGATCCTACGACGTTTTGACTGTGAGTCCCGACCACTACCGTTGCGCTGTTTTGCTTCATAACTCCATTCAGAGAATCGTTTAGCAGATTTGGAAGGTAGATTTGAGATCAGCGTTCGAAACGCATCTAGTGGTATACATCTCTTCTTGTATGGCTATGGTGAGCCTTTCCTTTCACACCTTGGAGACTGCATTGGACAATCTGACGCACTTTCGTGCCTGACCATTGTTATCCTTTTTTCGCACACGCATTCCTTCCTTCGGAATGCTTGTATTTATCCTCTAGACAATACACTAAGGTGACTATCAACGGCCGCCCGAATTGTCGAATAGACGCTTATTTCCTTAGAGGGACATTCAAAACAGGGCATTTAAACCACTAGAAGGTGACTAATGTAAGACTATAGTCATGCATAAGATGCGAAAAAGCAGCAGAACAGCTGAAGTACAAAAATCTATGATTGGCAAGGTGTTTTGTAGTAATGACCAATGCAAAAACACTTTACGTCAATTGCAGCGGAATTTGATAATTTTGTTTCATGATTGTCATTATGCGTCCTTTTGGACAAAACTCTACTGCTGTTCATCCAGGTAAGCTCATCGCCTTCATCGCTGCTAAACTTCTCTGTAACGTTCAGGTTGTTTTACATTTGATACCCAAAATGAACCAATATGGGGCAGGGTCAACTGTCGCGTTCGCACTTTCCCAAAAATTTTGCAACCCCCCTCCCCTCCTTAGGGGTGTCCCAATGCGCCCCTCACCATCATCAATCTTTAGAGGCTCCCCAATACAACCTCCCCCTCCCCCGATTCACTACACTAGCTACACAACTACACAGCACCATCACAGCTGTTTCTATAGTATTTGATTCCGAGATCATTCTACTTGCCCAGCTCCGCCCACTCTTTGAAACGGCCGTGGAGCGGTCGAGGTAGGGTAGATTGGTATCATAAATCAGCACTTTCAAGCAATTTTGCCTAGTTTACTCTACCTTCGTGAAATTTCCGCCAAACTCATCTCGAATACCTGTCAAATCTCATCTAATACATCCCTTTTCACGATCCCCTCGCACTTTTCCCGGAGATAATTAACTTTGTTTGTTCAACCCAAAAATGCGATCCTCTCTTCCCAAAATCGCAAATGCGACCCCCCTGTTCAAATATTGCTAACGAACGGTTGACCTTGATGTGAGGTAAGGCCCGCAGGCTTGCAACTCGCTTCTATCCCATGCGGCCAGAAATGCCAAAGCACGCAATGTCTTCAACTATTCACTTGCACGCACCGAGGAAAGCTTACTTGTGTAATAATTCAAACTACTAGTAAGAACACGGGCGGAAGTGGTGTAGTGGCAAGTGGCACGCTTACCACGCGAGCGGTCCGGGGATCAAATCCTGGGTCGTGAGTCGCCCGGGCCAACCAAGCCTTCCATCCCTCCGGGGTCGGTTAATTGGTACCAGACTTGTCTGGGAGGATAAAAACACTGACTTGTACATCGGCTGGCCCCGCAAGTCATTGTATAGGCCACATCGCATTCAAACGCCACTACGAATGTACAAATGGAAGTAGAATGCGTGCCGCATCCCAAAAGGGATTGATCAACGGCAAATGCTTTATCCTTTTACTAGTAAGAACCGAAATGACGCCTTTTGACCGTGAGCTTGCTTTCATGATCAAATACTGCGGAAGATTTGATTCATAAGAGTCAATTCAAGATCAGAGAAATCGCTTGCGAAAGAATCCGGACACCGAGGAGGCAAGGTGTTTTTGCGTTTGCCTACGAGTGACACTGTGCCTACTTGACCATCCAAGCCACCTCAGCTTCAAAAGGCTAGAAATGGGGTTCTACTGCCGGTGACCTCATAATGAAAGGTCGATATGAACATCTTTAATGACATTTTCACTTGCTGATAGTAGAACTTCGTGGCTGTAATTCAATTGGCAGCGCATTTTTGCAGTTGATAATTAATACAAGAAAAGTTCCTGCAATTAGAAAGATCACGGGTCGCAGCCGAAGTATCTTAGGACCCTGAAGCAATTATTGAAACAGAAAGCTCGCAGGTTTCTTTTGAGTTTCCACGCTTTCAAGCTGTCGACCACCACTGACCGGAAGCAAATAAGCAAATCATACTGGAAACAGCTCATCACCGCACAACTTCTATGAAGTGTGGTAGTTGTCACGTCAAGTCCGCAAAAGTGGTCTCTGAGCTATGTTACTGTTTCTATTAGATCGTCAAATCCGGCTAGATGTCCATCTTTCCACCGACCACTTTTCTGTGAGCCACGACCATTGATAAGAGTTTCGCAGATGAGGAAAGCAGATTTGAATTCGGCCTTTTAAGGCGAGTGGAGAGCTATAATCTCATTTCAGTTAGCTGGGATCATCTTATGACCTTTCAGAATGAGTTGGAATCTCAATGAATGACACTTTCCGAGGAAAAGAGATTGATTACACAAAACGATCTTTGAAAGGCTGGATTACAGGCAAAGGCTTAAAGGAGAAATTCACGATTAGGCGAACTGACGCGCAATTCGCATGGAAAAATTTGACCTCGGCGACCTATCATGCCTCAAAGCTGGCGGGTCCGGCGATCTCCGCCCACCGATCTGATCACTCGCCGTAGTTCAATACGTGGCGAGTGATTAGATAGCTGAGAGAGCGTAGTGTTGAAGAGGGCACAGCGATGAGAGTCGCATCAATGCTCAAATCAACGGGCAAGGAAGGGGTCCCATTTCTCGGGTTCTGGGCCGTTTCTCATGGTTCTTCCTTCTTTCGTGTACCACTCACCATCCCTAGGTTAATTTGAAATGGGTTGCTTTTTCATCGTGAATTCGTCCTTTAAATGTTAGCAGCAGTCATGAAAAGGATCGATAAATCAGTGCACAACATGCGAATAGATGCATTGTAAAAGCCCACGCATTCTGTGAATCGGGGACCTTCGGTATAACGAAATAGGAATCAACCTCACAAACCTCACCATCTTGTCAAACATGTCACAAAGTTCGGGATAATTTTCGTTGGAAGTGATGGCATCCTCGATCGTTTCCGCATCAGAAATCATGTCTTAAGTAACCCAATGAGACACGTTCAAGTCTTTCAGGCCAAAAAATGAGCGCGTGTTCAACTCACCACGTTTTTTGTCACTTGATAAATCATCGTCGATTTGCTCACTCTCGAACAATTTGAGGACTTCTGACATAACTTTGTCAACCGCCACATTGGATGGAGCACACACAAGAGTCTAAAACAGGTATAACGGTCTATTGCTGCGATTTCAGAAGAGCAGAACCTTACTTCGTACCTTTTGCTTTCTGTGGAACAACTGCCGAACTATTTCAGCCACTACACGCGTTTTCCCAGTACCTGGTGGTCCTTGTATGGTTACAAATGGCCGCCTTTTGTTCAACGCTGCGCAAACGGCTCGACGTTGACTATCGTTCAACTCACCAGAAAGGTCCGCAATCATTCTATCTGGAAACTATGTCACATAAGTGCAAGGATAAGCGGCTCAAACATAACCCAAAAAGTCAAGGATGCTCACCATTATGTACTGATGGCATGTTCTTCGCTCTGAAAGCGTATGCCAAAAGATCTACACCAGGAGTGTCGACCACTTTGTTTTGCCTGCATGAAAAAAAAAGTTCAAGAAAAAAAGGGTCAAGAAGAAAAGGTATTGAGAAACCTACAGAAAGAAGTCTTGCACGGAATGAAGAGCACCGCTTGACTGAGACATTGTGAGGATGTAGTCCGTGTCGCCATTCAGATGTCTCGATGCACTTGAAGGACGAATCTTGACCTATCAAGGGGAACCATTGAAATTCAAAGGATGTTCAGAGAAAAACCTCTCAAACAGAAACCTTGATCTCTTTCCGATTCGACGTCAGCATTACACATTCCGCAATTTCCCTCAACGTCTTCCCATCACGAATAGTAACGGGAGCCCCTTGAAGTGAATGTATGAAGCACAATCTTGTCTAGTTGCGTCTAATCGTAAGGTAGGTGTAATATTTCGCGATAACAATCTTAACTAGGGCGGGTCGTGACTGATCATGGGTGTTGTTCACTAGGACAGAAAGCGACTTTTTCGCGTTTCGCGCGCGAAACATTTTTCGCTGCAGGAACTCAGGTCCACTCATGATCAGCGGTGGACCTGAGGTTCCTGCAGCGAAAAATGTTTCGCGCTGCGAAACGCGAAAAAGTCGCTTTCTGTCCTAGTGAACTACACCCACTGATCACATGCTTCGCGTGCGTCCAGTCTCAACCGTGGGCTATATCCTATCCTGCCCACAGGAAGGCGCTTCCCCTGCCGACGATGCTGTCTTATGGTTGGAAGAGATAGGGTAACGTCTCCTGATTCGCAATATTCTGCATTCCTAGACTCCAGACACGCTACCCCTCAGAGAAAAGAGAGCCTCAACAGGGAAGTAGCTACAAAATCACGCGCTTAATGGCAGATCCTATGACGAAACCATGTCGCCCCCAAACTGGGATAGAATCAGCGAGGTGGGGGGGGGGGTAGAAAGAATCTTCCTGGAGGAAAATACGATACGGCCCCGTGTGATGCTCATCATGCACTTTTGTGCTTGCACTTTGCAACGCGAAGTGCAATCCCGTCACTGTTGTGTAATAGTCAAGTCTGACGAACATCTGATTTTGACACGATGCCGAGACCGCGTCCCGCCCTGTCAAACTATGATCGAAACTTCAAGCGCGAAGTCTGAACTTATTTAAAAATGACCATACCTGCACGGAAAATCTTGGAACGATCAGATCCGTTCGCGGAGGGGATCCTTTTCAAAGTTACCGTACGTCCTGTGATCGGATGCAGGTCATCCGATAATAATCGAAGATTACCTAGCAAAAGACCACGGTCTTCCAAAGCGGGTAGATCACTGACTTCCCGCAGTTCTTTCAACTGAACATGCAAAAATAGTTTTTTTTTGCCATAGAAACAAAAGAATGTAACGACAGGTGTACTAACATGAGATACTCCCTCGTCGATTTCAGCCTGAAGTAGTTTAGGCCACTCCTTCAGTTTAGCTCGGAATTCGGGCGGATAGCTGGCCAGTGGGTCCCTCCGCTTTTGAAGTTTGGCATAACGCCCAATGGAACCCAACTAAACAGGTTCAATTGATTTTTCCACGCCTGAGCACCAGAAGACCCTTCTGACGAGCACCATTCGATCGTACGATCGCACAGCATTAGACACGAACCGATCGCCCAGTCCAACAGGGTGTGATTAGTTAGGATAGAAAGCGACCTCTTCGATTTTAGCGGCGTAAACTTTTCGTTGCGGGTACCCCGGCCCACACCTGGGGCCGTATCCTATCCTTCCCCAGGGGGACGCGTCTCCTGCCGCTAATGCTATCTCAAGGGACTAGTTTAACTCTCCTGTGTTCTCTGCTGGGAAAAGTCATAGCACAGACGATTAGAGAACGGCGCCTGGCTCGGCTCCAAATCCAAGCAGGAAGGTGAGAGCCCTAGGACTAAGCCTTGGAGGAGGAGGGACTCCGGAGTGGATAAGCCAATTACTTCTTGGCAAAGTTTGATCCTATCAGATAACAGTGACCACAAACCGAGAGAGCGCAGGCGAAACATCAAATCGCAGCGGTTTAAAGGACTGAGTTTAAGTTGTCCGTAAACCATTCTAAGACTGGGGAGGCAGGGTTGCGCCATAGGACCCGCCATTAGTGCGTGGTGTTGTTGCCACCCTCCCTGTTGAGGTACTATTACCTCTGAGGGGTTGCAATCGGTGGACCTAGAGACCCCCCTACGAAAAAAGTTACGCGCCGCGAGAAGCGAAACACTCGCTTTCTGTTCTAGAGAACCATACCCCGTCCAACACGTCCTATACATAGTTCGGACGACCGATACGTACATATCTAATGCTGTGCGATCGTAACATCGAACGATAGGCTTAAAAGCGGGCACAAGTGTGAAGCGAATCACTTACCGGGAGTGAAGGATGAAAGTGGGCCTTGATGGCGCGTCCAGGACGCCAGAACCATCCGACAAGGCTTTTCCGCGCACATATCATGCTTTTGATCGCTTCAAAGCTGATTAGATTCCATTCGCTTGGGCTCTGTAAGTTACCTGTTGCGAAAAAGGACCGTAATCTATCATAAGATATGTCCGTCCATAATTTACCGAACCATACAGTCCATATTTCGCCGTCTGACTTGACGGTTCTAGGAATTTGACGTGGTGGCCGTCTCACTTGACGGAAACAGCGTGGATAAGCTGTTTCCAACACACATCGCTGGAAATCAGCAAAGGATGCGGGAAACAGCTCCTCCATGCGACTTTTGTCAAATGATGAACAAGCCTACTCAGACGGCGAAATGTGCGTTGTAAAATATGTAAGCTTACATGAACAGGTCTTCGAAGTCTCTAAAAATGTGATGAGCGAAGATAGAATTAGGGGTATGAGCGCTCTTTGATGAATTCAAGTTCGGAAGGACACAAGGATGGAAACAAATGGAACACCTCTATAGTGCTTGCTTGAGAATATAATCAGGATTGGGGAATTACAGGGATGGGGTGTGGTAAACTAGGATAGCGACTTTTCGCGTTTCGCAGCGCGAAACATTTTTCGCTGCGGGAACCTCAGGTCCACCGCTGATCATCAGTGGACCCGAGGTTCCCGCAGCGAATCATCAGTGGACCCGAGATTCCCGCAACGAACAATGTTTCGCGCTGCGAAACGCGAAAAGTCGCTATCCTAGTTTACCACACCCCATCCCTGTAATTCCCCAATCCTGATTATATTCTCAAGCAAGCACTATAGAGGTGTTCCATTTGTTTCCATCCTTGTGTCCTTCCGAACTTGAATTCATCAAAGAGCGCTCATACCCCTAATT